CAATTTGTCAGAAAAAAGAATAGTGCCACTGAAGAAAATAATGTCATTAAAAGTATATAAACATCTCAAAAAAGATATTCTGCCGATAAGCGAGAAATTCCTCTTAGCATTTCCTCTAAGCAAAAAATCTTATACAAATTAGACATGTATATTTATAACACGTATTTATCTATAAAACTGAAGATACATGAACTCTGTTTAAAAATAAATTCCTCTAAAGAAAATTTTTTTATAATAATTTGAATAGCCTTTTGAAAAAAAGAGGATATACAAGATATTAGCGACATTTGAGGACTTTAGCATTGAGAAGATTGCAATCCCAAATCCAACACTTTATGATAATATGAAATTCTTTTACTTTGTAGTCTTCTTGAAGTCATAAATGAAAAATCTTCTGACATTAACATGGAACCGCTAAATGGCAGAATATTCTTCTTACGATGAAGTTGTATCCTATAAATAAAATGGAGTAATTAAATTATTAAAAAATTTCAGTTGAATATATTATATTTTTATTTACTTTAATGATATATTTTTATTATACTTATTTTAACTCATTATCGAAAATAATTCTCAATAACTAGTATGTTAAATAATTATAATATGTATATAATAATTATAGTATGTAAAAGCATATTGATAATTGCAACTGCACATTAATATCCAATTGCATTCAAAAATATAACATATTAAGACTAGGAACATTATAGCTATGAACATTATAGCAATAATACATCCAATTTGAGCTAGGTTTAAATCAATCTTTGAGAAATGATTTTCAAATCATGGTTAATAAATCCAATGGGTTTAAACTTTTGATTCAGATCTCTTCTAAAACTATAATTACTTTTTTTAATATTAGGTCCGCTATTAAGTAGCGAATTCTAGTGATTATTTATGGAATTATTTGTTTATTGATTCGCTGTTACACTGTGATGTTAATATGTCAATACGCAATAATCAACATTTATTATAATGCACTTCTACTGTCAAAAATTTTGAAATGTTTTTAAGGTACATTTCAGCATTAACTTATATACGTCCTCATTTTCCTTAAATTTGATTCTCTTTACATTACAAGATGTTGACTATTTACGCGATACGTAATAGATTGATGACGTAGTTTCAAATGTAAATATAGTACTCGATATAAAAAATATAATAATATAAAAATAAATTAAATATGAAATTATATATTTTACCAGATAAATAAATGTAAATCATCATTCTTCTAAGAGAAGTTATGACGGCAAAAAATACGAATTTAATTAAAATAATCAACTTCAATCAATAAATGCATAAACTATAAATAATAATATTTTATCATGCGATACTATATTGAGAAAAATTCAGATAAGCGTCATAAGTATGTGTAATTTAGAGGAAGCCTGGGCAGCGCGGACGAGTTAAGGTTGAGAAGAAAAAATTACACGATTAAAAGATTGAGAAATCATTTTTATTCTTATAAATTTTTTAACTTTGAAATAAAATTTTAAAAAATTAAAAAACTTGAATATTAATATGTCATTTTAGTTAAAACATAAAAAAAGAGATCCCCCTGGGCAAAGGAATGAATTACTCGAGTAATGCAAAGAAATTTTAAAAATTAGAATGAGTCTTGACAATCATCACAAAAGAAACTACCACTCCTCTATATGTAGCCTTCATTTCCATTTGGTCCATTTGGTGCACTGACTGCACTGGGTCCAGTCTTCGGATGGTGGGTATATAACAAATCATCATATTGCATTGTGACAAAAAACAAAAATGAGATGTTAACAGCCTTTCGTACACTCGAAAGATCATCTGTCTCTTCGCATTCCCAGTAGTTTCATTGTAATCACACCGAGTAAGTCCGCTTTGCCCCCACCCGGTTTGCCCAAAGAACCTATCTGACGTGAATTTGGAAAGATTAGAATAAGTTAAAGCCAAGTGAAAAATTTTAATCCCGAATACACGTTTAAAGACACAAAATTCTTATAAAAAATTATTCACACTGGTTAAGGAACAATTACAAATAGTAATTAAGCTACGTACTACTTTAACAAAAATCGCAAGAAAATACTCAATTTTCTATATGTTTCTACTAAATACAAATGAACACAATCATGCCGTTTCGTACTTTCATAGCGTCGCTGGTCGGTTTCTTTCAACTGCTATAAACTCATAGCACCATCTCAGATAGATAAGCGAAAATAAAAGGTATTCACTTTAGGGGCGTCCATTTTGGACGGAAGGAGGAGAGCTTCCCCTATCTTTATTCCAATTACTTCGAAAACATACATAAACCTTTGACTGTATTTATTCGTTTCATTGTAGGTAACAAATCAGTAAGATGTGTGCATTTGTCTTGTTTTTATCGCTATGGCACTAAAGGTAAAAATTCATAAATTATAAATATTTAAACATAACAGAAAAAAAGAAAGGTTCAAACAATATGTATTGTCTAGAGACATCTTTGTTTTTAAATAACTTTTAGACCTCTAGGAATGTTTCAAAATCTTTATAACGTTTTTTAGATACTGCATACTATTTGGGAGAGAAATCTTAACAAGTTTTACTGGTAATACGTATATAAAGCAATTATTTTCCAAGGATAGGCCATTTTAATTAATACACGCGAATATCTTAAAAAGAGAATTTTTTTCAAAAAATGTTTCAAACAAAAGTTGTATGATTTCAAATTGAAAAAAGATGGTGATCTTGGATCACTTTGAGAAAAAGTCCTTAAGGTCAAGTTCATGTTATAAAATTTTTTTAACAAAACCTTTATTTTTTATTGCGAATTCTTGTAGCTTATTTCAAGAGCTTTCTAAAATGCTATAATAAAATATTTTTTTGTTAAGTACATTTCGAGTTATAAGGTTTGAAGGTTACAATATTGCCGGCATTTGCATTATTTATGTACATTATCCAGTATATTACAAAATTCAATGTAATACTATATAATACTATATAATAATACAATTTATTATTTTCGAATAATAAATTGTATTTTTTGTTCTTCCTATTTATTCATGTATTTAAGTTTTATGCTCAATCACTTTAAGTTTACATAATTATACTGGTATTCGCAGCTCGCTTTGTTCTGTTCTGGGGCTCTCCTACCTCATCAGGCTTTATTCGTTTAGCGCTCTCATTGGTTCGCATGGCACGCATAGTAACATTTAATTTCTCTGAAATCAGTTTAAGTGACAGATAGGAGCATATACACACACGTGCGCTTGAGAGAGAGAGAGAGAGAGAGAGAGAGAGAGAGAGAGAGAGAGAGAGAGAGAGAGGGGATACGTCAAGATCATGACTTTGAATAATATTTAGAAGATTTCAGTCTGATACTTTGGATAATGCAAATGTCAGCAGTATACTGTAAATTTCGAACCTTATCGAAATACCTAACGAAAAAATACTTTATTATAGTGCTTTAGAAACTCTTGAATAACTCTTGAAATAAGAAATAATTCGCAATAAAAAATGGAGAGTTCCATTAAAAAAATGTTATGTAACATGTACCTGACTTTAAGGACTTCTTGTTAGATGAACCAAGGTCACGGTCTTTTTTCCCCCAAAAAACTTTTGTTTGAAACATTTTTTGAAAAAATTTCTCCTTTTTTAGATATGATGTGTATTGATTAAAATGGCCTACCCTATATATATATATATATATA